GATAAACACGATAACTAAAATAACCGCACAACGTTTTATAATAATAAAACATGTGGACTCACCAATATTATGTTGGTCTTTCAAAAATCACATGTATTCTTAGGAGAATGAACCTGAATGAAGAGGGAGGTAACCCCGGTGATGCAGCTCGAAGTCCATGTGCTTTACTATTGTACTTTGCTTTTGTGACCTATCTGTACCTCAAACAGCTTTGTAATATATTTTGTTTAAGAATAAATAGCGACTTTGTTTAAGATATCACTATATTATTCAATATAAGTCTGTGACCTGAAATCCAACATTTTAACGTTGCACAACCCAATGTTTTCGCCATCGGACAGAGGTGTAACACTACGAGATCTACGATTTTCGTCACCACTGATGTTCAAATCTGTAAGCTTCGGTCTAGATCTACGTTTTAGCCACCGCCAACGACCAGATCTACAAACTCCGGTGGAGATCCACGTTTTTCGCCAATGTTATAGTCTAGATCTATGTTTTTCGCCACCATCGACCTCCAGATATGCGATTTCCGGCGACCACCGATGTAGACCGCTGCTCTACCGTCGCCAGATCTAAATATAAACCGATCGACCAACATCGAACCACCATAATCGAACATTACCAGATCTGATCTCCAACAAATGAACACATTCTCCTGCCGTCTCCAGTTTCTTGTTGAAAGATTTATGATTCCGATGACTTTCCTTGGCTCTTTTTGCTTAGATCTAGTTAGATATGAGTGATATCGATGGTTTTTTCTTTTTCTGGTGGTGTCCCTAGTTCAAATTTGTCCAAATATGGTTTGATCTAAGTGAATCCAAGTTTTGACAACTATAATCTCTTGTCTCTAGTGTTAGTTTTATGGTTTCGATTCGTCACCGTTGTTTCCTTGAAAGATCTACGATCTTTATGTGTTTTTTCTCACAGATCTGTTGGATATCACATGTACACTCATTTTATTACTTATGTTTACATGTTTTGTTGTATTAAAATATAGATTTTATGTTAAAACATGAATGATTTGTTTATTAAGCTTTGATTTTTTGTTTTAAACTGTGAATTGACTACATTAAATTGTGAATTTTCTATTTAAACTATGAACTGACTATATTAAGCTGTGAATTTTGTGTATTAAATTGTGAATTCATTAAGCTGTGAATTTTGTGTATTAAACTGTGAATTGACAGTATTAAGAGTTTTAAGTTCATAAGATGGCTGTGAATACATACTTTTTGTGTATTGAACTGTGATTTTATTGTACTAAGTTGTGAGTTTCATGTATTAAGCAGTGATTTTTGTGTTTTAAACTGTGAATTGACTGCATTAAACTGTAAACTTTCTGTTTAAACTGTGAATTGATTATATTAAGATGTGATTTTTGTGTTTTAAATTGTGAATTGACTGCATTAAACCGTGAATTTTCTGTTTACACTGTGAATTGACTATATTAAACTATGAATTTTGTGTGTTAAACTATGATTTAATTGTTTTAAGTTGTGAATTGACTGGTATTAAGTTGTGATATATATATATATATATATATATATATATATATATATATATATATATTTGTTTGCTTCTGAAATATAAGATGAAAGAAATATTATATACAGTTCTGATTTTATATAATTTTGAATAAAGTATGTAAAATATAACTTGGGACTATTTATGTAAATAAACTTGGAAATAAGTCCTAGTCTATAGATCTGAAGTATAAATGTAAGTTTTAAGTTAAGAATATGGTTGTGAATGTATAATTTTTGTGCATTAAACTGTTAATTATTATATTAAGCTGTAAATTTTGTATACTGAACTGTGAATTAATTGTATTAAGTTGTGAATTTTTAATGAATTTTGTGTTAAGATATGAATGGTGTTTGTATTAATTTTTTTATTGATATATATATTTTTTGTGTTGTATAAAGGGAAATCTACAGAAAAGTCCCAAACTTTTGGGAAAAGTTACAAAAAAGTCTTAAAAAATTTTTTTGAACAGAAAAGTCTCATTATTTTGAGAAAATCACATAATCTGTCATTTACTGTTCAAATATAAAAAAAGACTTTTCGTTAATTTGGGCAAAATGTTAAATAATCGAGACTTTTCTGTTCAAAAAAAAACTTTTAGAACTTTATAAAAAAAATTCCCAAAATAATGGGACTTTTCTGCATTAATCCCGTTGTATAAATATGTAAGAATGTATTAGTTTTTATAAATATTTTGCATTAAACTCTGAATAAGTGAATTAATTAGTTTATTAAATTGTGAATATAATATTTAAATTGTCAATCAATGATTTTTATATACAGATCTAATTCGGGAGGAATGATGGTTGCGACGGTGGTTAGTGGTGGCATGTGTTAGTAGTTGGCGATGGTGGTGGCGTGTGGTAGTAGTTGGTGATGGTGGTGGTAGAGTTTGAGTTTGACTTCTTTAAATATGTGAATTAGTGTATAATGAATTATATTATGTTATGTTGTGAATTTTATGTAATAAATTAAAATAGATTGTATTAAGTTGTATATTTTTATATAAATTTTGTGTTAACATATGAATGAATGTATGCATGACAACATTAAATGTTAGTCCAACGGTGGTCCGACGAGGGTCAGATGGTGGTCTGGGCTGTCCAACAACAAATGACAACTAATTGTAAACTAGGAAATATAAATTTTTTGCTTTATTTATATATATATATATATATATATATATATATATATATATATATATATATATATATATATATATATAAAGTTTAGTTGACATTGTTTGTATATGTCAAACATCTATATTGAAATTTAATAACCTCTTTTTTATTTAACTTTATATGAATACCCAACTCAATTTCATAAAACAATGGTTTGTAAATGAATTAAACTTCACTTATAGTTCTCGACCAAACAAATGAAGTGCAATATACTAATATAGTAATATTAATAAAACACCAAAGAGCTTCTAGCCCAGCGGTATCAAGTGTTGCCCTTCCTCATTGAGGTTGAGGGTTCAAGTCTCGTCGGAAACATAGGTGAATTTAGGAGTAGTTTAGGATTATATTGTATTTACCGTTCAAAAAAATAAAAATAAAAATAAAAAATAAAACACTAAAGCTAATCGAGGCTAGTCTGGTTGGCATTGCCTCTTGGAGTAGAAGCCCAAGTTCGAACCTGAACAAAGGAGTTTCTAACTGTGGAGTTAGTAACATGTTAACCATCTAATTTGCTGTTAAAAAAAACACTAATAACATGTTTTAGCTATTCATTCTATTAATACTTTTTGATATTTTCTAATTTAGATGGTTGAAAAGATATCACTGTAATATATTACCAATAAAAAGAAAGAATAATCACTTCGCGTTTAATGCATCAAATTATTCTTAACTATTAAGCCATGCGAATAAATCATATACATATCTACAAAATATTTTTTTGTAAATAATTTAGATGCGAAAACTATTTACTTGGTCAACTCCTCATTATAAAAAAAAATCTATGTAAATTTCACTATTTTATTATAAATTAAACGAACATTATACTCGTTGTGTATAACTAAATATTTACAGTAAATAAAATAGAAATATATATATTATTAAAAATAAGGGTAATATTTATAGTAAAATGACTTATATATATTATTAAAAGTAAGGTTAAATATTTATAGTAAAATGACTTATATTTTTGGATTTTTTTTAGTAATCCTAACTTTTTTTGTTTTTTTTTTTGGCGCTACGTGAAAACATTTGTCTGATTAATTATGAGCTAGGTATTTAACCAGTTTAAAGGGGTTACAGTAATTAAAATGCCCACCCATAAAAATTGGGATACAAACCCTAATCTCGGTTTCTCTCCCTTTTCCAGTTTCCTTTTCCTTTCCCTCTCCCTCTTTTTATTTTCCAATAAATTAAAAGTATATTAAAAAATAAAAAGGTTTTTGTGGATTGTAAAAAGTTGGAGAAAAAAAGATATCATATCATAAAACCACAGTAATCACGGAGTCAAGCTTACTAGCAGGAGATTTCGTTTTCGATCAGGGGTAAGCATTACTTGCTTTGTCAAACAAGGAAACGAAAGGTCTACCGTTTAGTTCTTTCTAGCGATTATTATTATTAAAACCACACTAATCTTTGGAGTTTACTCCTGCTCAAGCCTATACCTATTCTTCCACCGACATCAATAAGCTAATTATTGGGTTTAATGGTTTGCATTTATGCAATTCAATATTGAAGTGTTGATTTTTCTGCTTTTGTTACTGAGTAGATCAGATCAGAGCTTAAAATGTTTTGGTGTTTCTTCAAACTAGTTACAATACAAATTCAAATTTTGATGGGTTATTGGTGTCTGCATTCTTAATTAAGTAATTGTATTCGTTCTTTTTTGTTTATTAAAATTGTCAAAAGAACTTTTTCTTTTTCGTTTACATATCTGTGATTGAGTAATTGCATTCGTTCCTTTTTGTTTATTAATTTTGTCTAATAGAAAAGAAAGTAACATTCTTATCTTATATTAGAGATTTTTTTAGATTAGACATGTACTGATGTACAAATCCATATTGTTATCTTCATTCTTACTTCAATCTTTTTTCTTTCATTATGGGTTTTATTAGTTTAGATCAGACATGTATTGATGATGTACAAATCCATATATGATTGCATGAATTCGTGAATCATGAATTTATTTTTATTTCGCCACGTGGGTCATAACTCGTATAATGGTATGAAACTGATAATATTTCATAATAATAGGCAAATAAAGTGATTAAAATAAATTGATGGTTTCTTTAGGGTTTGTTTGAACCCGGTGTTTTATTTTCATACATGATATATGGTTGTCCCTTGTTTATGACTCTTGCAACTTATATGAAATTTGCTTTACCAAGATTTAGATTTTTTTTTTTTTTTTGCAGGTGTAGTAATTAATGTGCAAGACAAGGAACTATGATGAGGATGGGTACTTGTAAGGACAAATGATCAGATCTTAACCATGATGTGCTCTATTCAATTATAATGCGACTCAGAGTTGTTGAATTTCTTTCGTTTAGTAGAGTTTGCAAGTCATGGAGGTCACTCGCACTCTCGAACAGGAAGAGGTTTATGGCATCCAAACCACCCATGGCTATGCTTCTTGATAAGAATACATGCTACCTACAAGACTTTGAAGGAAGAGAGTTCAAAACCATTCTTCCCCTTTCTGGTGATAGGACATGTATTAGAGTAACTTGTGGTTACTTGATTTTTATGGGAGAGAAAACCCGTGACTTCTGGCTTGTGAATCTTATCACAAGGCATGAACTTTATTTCCCTGATGTCCCCATTGATGTTGTTCGTCCTGAAGAAAGTAGACACGTGAGGGCTATCCTTGTCTTTTCACCTTCAATAAATGGGTGGGTGTTTGTTATGTTAGTTAGATTCAAGTATAAAATATGGTTTTCTATAGCTGGTAAAAGAGCATGGAATCATCTTTTCTCCACTCTCCCTCTCATTGATTTACATCCTTTCAAGGGGAAGATATATATCCTAAGCATGGAGGATTCTGTGATAGGGGGCACATGTATGGGAAATGAGACTCGACCCTGTGCCTAAATTGACGTTATTTGATACGCATTTTATGGAGTCGGTTTTTATGGCTTTCGATTTAATTAGTTCGGATGAAAACCTTTATTTGATGGAATATTGGCCAAAAGATTTTCACAAGATTCACAAACTAGATTTTGACCAATTGACTTGGGTGCCTTGTGAAAAGACAATGGAAGAATATGTGTTGTTTAGCCGGTTGAAGCATGGTGCTGTTGTTAAACCAGAGTCATGGGCTTCCCCATCATCGCAATACATGAGATTTTTTGGCAAGAATAATCCTAGAAAAGGTAGCTGTCTTTTTTCACAAATGTGGTACTTCCCTCATGATTGTTTGAATGTAACTCAACTCTCTTGATGAGTTATGGACTTGTTAGCACTATTTTTCTTTTCTTTTCATATGTTTGAAAGATTTGTCATGATTTGAATTTTTCAATCTATTGTGTAAACAATTAGGTCGGTATTTCCCTCTTTGATTCAGATGGAACAACTTTCAGTTATCTCCCTTTTATGTGATTAAAAAATTTTAGTTCAGACCAAGCATGTATTCAAGTTGACCTTTAATCCCAGAACAAATACATCTCAAGTTGGATACAAAATTCCAAGAAGGCATTTGCATTTCTAACATAAATTCTTGGATACCTACTTAGAATCCTTAATTCCTTTCCCTCAAATACATGAATTTGCAGAAGATACACAAAGTGTTTTAAACTATGTGCTATCTAGTTCATCATTAGGGCTATCTCTTCTCCAGCAAAATTTTGATGAACATGAGCCAAACAATGATGAATTTTCAGCAAGAATATACAAACAAAACAAGCACAGTCCTGTTGGCAAACTAACAAATCAGCACCTGACTTTGCTAAAAACTAGAAAACAAAAGTGATAGTGATAAATAAGTTGCCACATACCAGCATAAGCAACAGTAACACCTGAGACTATTCTTCCCAAAGCTGATAGCATATAAAGGATCACAACCACCTATACACAATGAGGAATTTACAACTAGTTTAGAATCACAGACTATTTCAAAGTTAGTTATGTGTTTGTTGATAATAATCTTAACTAATGCCTCTAAGTATAGCCTTAGCCTCATCAACATTGTTGTTTGTACCATTTTCAACATCTCCATTATGATTTCTAGCCTGTTTTCCCCACTTAATAACATCAATTTAACTATAGCCTACATACTATTTATCTCTAAAAGGCTTTTACACATGCTAAACACAGGGCTTCCTAATTTTGCAATGATGGAAGAATGCTACACAATGTCTCAACCTAGGGTTTCACAGGTAGTGCATATCTTTGAGGCCTTACATCTGACTGCAATTAGATGAGACAGCCTTGCAGCAGAACACGATAATACTCGTGAAAAGAAAGAGAAATGCTGTTGAGTGATTGATTACCTTTAGAAACAGGCGCTTGTCATGGCCAGTTGCAGCAACCCTTAGAACAGATTCAGCTGCACCTACGGTATTAGCCAAGCACGCAAACAGACTGTTTGCAGTATCCTGAGATATCTGCCATTCAAGTGGATCCACAGGCACTCTGCAATATCAGAGGACAAGTATTATTAAAACATAAGAAGAAGTCCTTTTCCGATCTCAACAATACCTAGGATGGAATCGATCCAATACGCCTACTACCATGGAAAAGTCAAACTCACGGGTTATCGTAGGTATAATTGTAAGCGGATTGCAGGGAAAAAAACCTATTGCATAAAAATTAGGGGAATTGAATTGTTGCTGTATTGGATTTGATTTATAACAAGAATCAGTAGAAACAGAAAGTGAAAGACGTACTGGATGTTCATCTGGCGGAAAAGGAGGCCGAGGATGGCGAGGGAACAAAGGAGGACGATGAAGACGTCGGAAATGAGTGATATGATGCTTGAATCACGATATGCGCAGTGGTAATACACCAAAGTACCACACATCCCGACTATCAACGGCTTCCCTCTCCCGATTACTGCTGCTGCTCCCAACTCCTTCCTGTTGCCAGCCCTCTTCCTTCTTGTTACTCCCAATCCCTCATCGTTTTCACTTGCTCCGCCTCCGCCGTTGCTGTTGAGTTCATCCATGGCCGCAGTTGTCTTCAAGAGACGGAATAAATTTGCTCAGTCACTCTCATCATCATCATCCAACGCATTAATAGTTGTTTAGATTTAGAAACTGGAATAGTTGTTGAAGACCTTAATGTGGGCCGTCTTGCTCGAAAATGGAGTTCTAATTTTCGGATTTCACTTTGTGCACTTTTAGGCTTTTATAATTTTCTTTTTCTAATTTTATCTTTTAACAAAAAGTTTTATCGAATATGGTAAATGTTTTTGATATTATAACTAGGGTGAGCATTTGGACCGGTGGACCGGACCGGACCGTTTTTTTGGACCCCCGGGCCGGTTCTCGGTTCTAGGAATCCATCAAAACCGGTTCGGTTTTTTTTTCCCGGTCCGGTCCGATTTTTACCTGGTTTAGAACCGGTTGGACCTGATTTAAAAAAAAAATCTAATCTGTGAAAATTTTTAAACAACCATAACTAATTCGTTTTAAGTTGGATTGACACGCGGTTTTTTTCCAACGTTTAATTTACAGTTTGTAGATAAATTTAGACTATAATTTTGTTGATTTCGGTATTATATTCAATGAGTTACAGTCTTTCAAAGTTGAACTATCAAAGCTGAAAAATTTCAGCTTTTTAGCAACATTTTTAAAATTTTGTAATCGGTGAAAATTTTTAAACAACCATAACTCATTCGTTTTAAGTCGGATTGACCTGCGGTTTTTTCAAACATTTAGTTTACAATTTGTAGATGAATTTAGACTATAATTTTGTTGATTTTGGTATTATATTCAGTGAATTACAACCCTTCAAAGTTGAGCTATCAAAGCTGAAATATTTCAGCTTTTCAGCAATATTTTTAAAATTTTGTAATATGTGAAAATTTTTAAACAACCATAACTCATTCGTTTTAAATCGGATTGACCTGCGGTTTTTTCCAACATTTAGTTTACAGTTTGTAGATGAATTTAGACTATAATTTTGTTGATTTTGGTATTATATTCAGTGAGTTACAATCCTTCAAATTTGAGCTATCAAAGCTGAAATATTTCAACTTTTTAACTATTATTTTAGACTATAATTCTGAATTTTATGTATCTTGACAGATAAATCATATGAAAGGGATCTTGGTGAACTTGATTTATATGTTAGTTGCTTTTATTTGGAAAATTAATTTTGCAAGTTATAATATTATAACATCAAGGTAGATTAGTTATGCATGAAACGGAAACGTAATCATTTTTACAAGTTGTATCATATCAAACCCAATAACATATTCGTTTTAACGAGTTCTATCAAACCCAAAAAACTTATTTTAACGACGTGTACTCTATGCAATTAAAGTTGTACCGGTCCAAACGGGTCCAAGAATCGGAAAACCCGGACATGGACACGACTGATCCGGTCCAGTCCACGGTCCACAATATTCTCCATAACCGGTCTGGTCCAAGAGCCGGTCCGGTTCGGTCCAAATGCTCACCCCTAATTATAACTATCATCGGAAGAATAAGAAAAATGTCCCTATTTGTCAAAAATAATAAATAAAAATAAAAAACCCTACAAAAATACCTATATCACAAATTTTCAGAAATAGTCCCTAGAAAGAACTAAGATTTACAAAAATAGTCTAGAAATACTCCATGTATTTGAGATTTACAAAGCTACAAAAGGTCTTTGGAAGAAATTAAGAATTATAGAAATGGTCATTGTAAGAAATAGTTATAGAAATGGTCATTATACGAACAAGAAATCAAATATCCTCCTATATTTTTTAATTTCTCATATAATCTTTTTACACATTAAGAGGGTGTTTGAGAAATCTTTTAAAATGACTTTTAGAGCTTTTAGCTTTTCCAAAAAGCTAAAAGTTAAAAAAGATGTTTGAGCATTTCAAGAATTTCTTTTAAAACAACTTTTTGGCAAGAACAAAAATAAACTTTTTAAAAATCATGAATTTGTGACTTTTTGCAACTTTTGGGTTTTTAGCTTTTCAAAAGTCAAAAGATGAACCATACACATTTTAAAACTATCTTTTGTAAAAAGCCAAAAAATCAAAAAAGACTTTTGTCAAAAGAACTTTTTAGCATGAAAATCAATCTCTAAGATTGTGACATCTGTCATATTTAATAAATTCTCCCCATTTAATAACAAGAATACATAAATAAACCATACGAAATATTTAAATTGAAATTGCAGACGTGGTCAATGCATAATACCATATCGGAAGAAAAAAAGCGGCCATCAATATTACATAAATGGTCTTGTATAATAGCAACATTAAAAATAGTCGTTATGTAATATTGAAATTATAGAAATGATCCTTGTGTAATGCCGAAATTATAAAAACAATCCATATGTAAGCCAAAATTAAACTCATGGACCATGTATAATAGCAAGGTTATAGAAATGATATACGGTGTGGCTTTTTGTCTAACTTACCACTATCCCATGGTGTGGTGTGTATACCTTTCGGTCATGGTCGAATTGTTGTTTTCAGTGATTGCAATTTCAATATCTTGTAGAACTATAATGATATTGTTTAACTACTTTATTAATGATTAAATGAAAGACCAAATTCATTTTCAATTCAATTGCTAGTTGTTATTCCATATGAAATGCTAGTATAAATCAACCAATGAGAACCTCAGGGCTCAGGCTGATAATCAGGATAAGATTATTGGAATGAAACCTTCATTACTTGAAGCTAAATCTTTCATTTACATAAGTTTATAACTCAATGACGTAATGATCACATGGTTAAAAAAATTGTACCAAAAAACAAACTTATTGAATCTGTGTTTAGGCAACCAAAGCCTCTAAAAATGCGCCAAAGTCCTACCAAAACAGGTGTCCAAAATACGTGCTCATGTGTTATATATACCAAATAATGTGCTTATATAGTTCATATGAAGTAAAACAAGTTTTTAACTAAACATAGTTTATAGATACTACAATTGTGAGGCTGGAAGGACATTTTTCGCGAAGAAGATGTCAAGAACTTGTAAAGTATCTTCAAAAGTATGCAAGTATTCACAGTTGATGAACTGACCATAATATCCCACAACTTCAAGCATATTGATGTGGTCATGGGGATGATTCCACAACTCAACTATGCTTCACTCATTTCTTTAGTGACTTTCTCAGCCCAAGCAAATTTGCTTCCTTAATGTAGGGGTTGTCATCCAGATAAAAACTATTGCAAGAAGATCTAAAAAGTTAGCCAAATCCATGTTTTTTTTCTGAAAAGGGAAATCGGAGAAACCGAAAAGAGGTTAAATACATTTATAGATCTGAAGCTATATGAAACATAAAATATGGTTGCTAACGAGTGGTTTCAAATACAATAAGCATCAATAGAGCAACATCGAAGGAAAAAGAAACTACTAGAACGAAGATGAGAGTATGTTTTGAAGACAAAGGCAAACAAAGGGAGGAAGAGGGTTATATGAGAATAAAGAAAGGTAAAAACTCAGCGAAAAATTTATAATAACAAATTTGATGGTATTTTGACCGTTACACAATGGTCATATTATTGATAGTTTTAGTTTAAATTTAACTACAATAACTATTATGACAACTTTATATTCTAAGAATGATTGTTAGGTAACGGTAAAAAATACATTACAAAAAAAAATACATTACAAAGAGAGCGGACGATTGAATCATAATCGACATAACAAAAGTTAAGAAACTATCAAAGTGTTATGTGATATTTTTTTCTTTTGGTATAGTTTTTTTAAATGAGGAAAAAAATAAAACGAGTGCTCATGTGTAGTTAAATCAAATTGCAAATAAGTAATGGATTAATACAAGCTAAAAATAAGGAAGGTTATGAAAATAAGAAGAAATAGGGTATATGTGACTTTAGGTTCAATACTAAAATCTTAAAAAACTCATTTTAACAGTAACGTCTTAAAAATAACGGAAGACTAAACCTTGAAAAATGATCCGAATAAAATTAATGAAAATACAAGAAATAGGGTAAAAAACCGGTAACATTATTATTTTTTTCATTGTAGATTTTAATCCATCTACTTAAAAATAAGATGATTTTTAAGTAAGATGATTTGACGTTTACACTTCCTGGGGTGAAAAGTAGCATCGAAATTTCAAGACAATATTTTTCCAAAAAGCATGTATTTGATGTAATTTTGAGATTGCTAATGCAAATAGACGTTCAATGTTCCGGTTATCCTCATGATTGAGTGGGGGATTTGTTCAAATTTCCAAAAGCCGGAAGCATAGTTGGTAAGAAAAACTGTTCATCCTCTTATACAGTTTTGCACTTGCATGTCAAATTGGTCGACAATAATGGCAACATCAAGTAAGAAGGTAATGCTAGATTTATATGATCAAATAGAAGCACTTGCTTCAAGATGTATGATCAAATGCACGTAACCCAACCGAAGCTTCATTAACATTTTTCGGGTTTCTTGATGAAAATAAACAGCCTCCACATGTAATGTAATGTTTGGCATACAGAAAAACATAAACATACCACACATCATGACAATAACGTGACAACTTTCAGTCAACATTCTTTTTGATTTGTAAAAGCTTATAGTAGGGAAGGGATCAAACATATTTATTTTATTCATTATTAATTCATACGGATTAAGAAAAAAAAAACAACAGTTGTTCCAACAACATCAGTAGTTCCAAGACTACACCCTACATGCTGCGGCTTATTTAACTCTCAACATACAAAATCCCAAAAAGAATTATAGCTAAGCACCACAAATGGACAAACCAGTAACCAGCCTTTTGAAGTTTGAATAATAAAAAAATCAAACAACTAACAACAATCACATTTCATTCCTTTCTTTCTTCCTTCATGCAGCAGCAGCACTAAGAAACAAACAACCTCTTTGATCTTGAGAGATGAAAATTGGCACTTGCTCGGTTTCATCTTCAAAATAATCAAATCACGTCTTCTTTCTTTGTTTGTTTACCGGGTTTCATCCTCAAGGTTGCGGAAACCAGCAGTAAGATCTTCATTTAGCTTCTTAAATTTCCCAATAAGAACATCCTCCCCTTCAGCCGGGTCCTCAAACTTCTGAGACCTGTTTTGTTAATTATAAATATAAACACATTATTTTTTAGACCAATTCAATTTTAATTTTTA